ACCGTTGTGTAATCACATTGAATTCTGAAAATGACACCATGTCGTTTTCCCTGCTGGTGAAGTGAGATCCTCTGTTCCCGCTGGCCGGGGGACCGTCACAGCCGCTCTCCTGAAAGCTATGACATCCGACAGGGAGGACCAAACGTGCAGACTCCTCAACCTGCTCACTCATTTGTGGATGCCATGTGACAACTCTCTCATTATTTTTTGTCACCCTTCAACCCGTACATTCGTATTTTCCAATGCTGGTCACTTCAGTCTCGGCTTAGCGCGGCAATTGATACGATCCATTAAATGCACACACTACTGTAAATGTGCCTCAAAAGCACATCGTTCTTTTTGAAACAGCTGAACTAGTTGTCTCCTAACTGGAGCACCAAGTCTCTCATAACACAATGACCTAAAAAACAGCGACAGCATCACGGCACATGCGGGATTCCACCTGGAGAGGTGAGCTTGATGATTTGCACTGTGAACTACAAGAGGAATTTTCTAAAGTGAATTTTGAATGTAAAAAAAAAAAATCTCTTTTTAGCTGTGAGGATTGCGTTCAGCCGGTTTGAAGAATTCAAAATGCTCGGGATTGTTTTCATGTGACGGCAGCTGTCTCTGCTCTGCCTGTCTCGGTTCAGGTGCTGCTGGCGGAGGAGCGAGGCAGCGAGCGTCTGTTTGCCGTGAAAGTGTTGAAGAAAGACGTTCTCTTCCAGGACGAGGACACGGAGAGCGCCATGGTGGAGAGGAGGGTTCTGGCGCTTTCCTCTCGCCCTCACTTCCTCACATCTCTCTACTGCGCTTTCCAGACTGAGGTGTGTGTGTGTGTGTGTGTGTGTGTTGAGGGTATACAGGGCTGCTAAATGAACCACCCCTCTAAATCGTCCGTAAACCTGCCTGACATTCTGGCCTTGTAGTCCTCCCTGGAGTCGTTTCAATAAAGCCTGCCTGAAAATTTCAATTAATTTATTAACTAATTAGCTTGCTTTCTTTAATAAGGTCCTTGGTCCTGGAGGAGGTTTTAACAGATTGCTGTTTCATTTGTACAGGAGGTGATTATGTATGAGGAGTATGTACAGTGTATTCATGTGTGTATGGGGGGGGGGCGCGGGGGGTATTTTGTTTTTGCAGGACCGTCTGTATTATGTGATGGAATACGTCAACGGAGGAGACCTGATGTTTCACATTCAGATAGTCGGCAAGTTCAAAGAGCCCCATGCAGCGTATGTAGTCGAAAAGCTCCCTTCTTTCACCTTAAAGAACAATGTTCATCTGCGGCGTCTCATTTCCTGCCTGCCTTTCATCCTCTGATGCTTTACATACACTCTCCTCTCTCAGCTCTGTTCATTATACCTGGAGACTCATGAAAAGTGATCAAATGTCATACCGGCCCTCTTCTCTTTCCCCCGGCTCTCTCCTCCCACTTAGCTCATCTTTTTTTTTATCTACGTTTTCCCTCTTGTGGGCTTTTCATCTAATCAATAATCTTTGATCATCTGAAACTAATTCTTACCTTGTTGCTCATTCCCAGCCCTGCGTCTTTAATCCTTTCATCTACTTGGTTTCTTTCCCTTTCATCAACCTCTTGAATTTGCTCTCCTGTCTCCTCGCTAAAAAAAAACCTTGGACCATTTTCTAAAAGGGTAAAGCAACCAGTAGTGATCCATCTCCTCTCCGCCTGCAGGTTCTATGCAGCGGAGATAGCGGTCGGCCTCTTCTTCCTGCACAGCAAGGGCATCATCTACAGGTAGAGGAGTGAGCCCATCGTCTGACGCGGCCTGTGTTTTCGGTACTGTCACCCTCGCGTGATTCATACCCCGTGCGGTCCGTTTGCTCTTTCTCAGGGATCTAAAGCTGGATAACGTGCTGCTCGACAGCGAGGGCCACATAAAGATAGCCGACTTCGGGATGTGCAGGGAGGGCCTGATGGAGGGCGACACCACGCGCACCTTCTGCGGCACCCCTGACTACATCGCCCCCGAGGTACGCCGAGCCCTGCTCTCACATGGTGGTCTACTGAACTCCCCCCTCGTCTGTTCCTCCCCCCCCGCCTCCCCTCGTCTCGTCCCTCTTCGTCTGCTCGACCTCTTTGGCATTGCTGCCCGACGGCGGGACGCTGCGCTGAGGCTCCCCCTCGTCTCTGATTCGTCCTTTCTGACCTTGTCAGCATCTTTGAGAAATTAGCTGCACACGATTCAATTTAGCGTTGGCCCGTGCCCGCGCGATGGGGACATGGAATTGACGTAATGATCGTCTTTCAGAGACGATTGGGTTTACCTTTCGCTTACTTGGGGTGAATGACTCCCTCGAGAGTAACAAAAAACCCTGCAACTTAATCTCAAAAGGATTTCATCGATGATGATGCAAATTTTTCCTCATTACCCTTTTGAAATGTTAAATTGTTCGCGGTATAATGTTTGACGTCTGTCCTGTGTGTGTGTGTGTGTGTGTGTGTGTGTGTGTGTGTGTGTGTGAATCCCTTTGTTCAGTAATCCTTAACAAACACCATCCAGACAGCGACTGAAGTAGGTATTCAGCTGGCTTGGTTTATGGACTTGTCGTTCTCGTAGCAGACGGACCCAGTAGAGGGGAAACGAGAAGGTGTGACTGTCTTTGATATCGTAAACCTTGCTATGGTACCCCTGGGTATTGACTCTGTTATGTAAACACCCATTGATTCTCCTCCATCTGCCATTTTGGGAGAGATACAATATATTTCCCCAGGGGCTGGCAATTGTTCCCTCGTATGCCGCTCCCCCCCCCCCGAGCCTCCACAAATCCAGAGTCACGTGTTGATTTATTTTTCCTGAGCTCATTCATACATTTACCCTCCCTAATACCACACTTTCCTCTCTCTCTCTTCGTGCGATGTAGCTGCACGTCCGCTTGGAGCCAACTGCTACGACGCCGTCTTTCTTTCTTCTTTATCTCCTCACTGCCGATCCCTTTGATCGTCTCTGATGTTTCTCTCCACCCCTTTCAGATCGTGGCCTACCAGCCCTATGATAAAGCAGTAGACTGGTGGTCCTATGGAGTTCTGCTGTATGAAATGCTGGCGGGACAGGTAACAATAGAGCCGTGTGCACAGAACCTTAAGCCTCCAGTGCTTCGTCCTTTGTAAGCTCTTCAAAGGACTCTCAAGAGAACTTTGATTTCAACATATTTGCTTTGAATTTTCCCACAGGTTACTCTCTTTTTTTTTTCTCCCTTTTCTCTCTTTTGCTTCCAGCCCCCATTCGATGGTATTGACGAGGAGGAGCTGTTTCAGTCCATCATGGAGCAGAGTGTGGTTTACCCCAAAAGTCTCACTCGTGAGGCTGTCTCCATCTGCAAGGGAGTAAGCTGACATTTTCCTGACTCGTGGACCTTTTAGCACAAAGACAGTTAAGACTACTGCAAATGTAATTCAGAAAGTCATAAATGACTTCATCTGCGATTTAAATAAATACTAAAACGGTTAAACATGCACATTTCCGAGTAATTCGAGTAATGGTGCATCGTTTTAGGAAATGCGCTCATTTGCTGTCTCGCTGAGAGAGATGAGAAGAGCAATGCCGCTCTCACATGGGATCGAGCAGCCATTAACTTAGAGGCTTAGAGACTGGGAGGCAGAGCTGGCCAGACCGACTTTTTCACCTTCTCGTCCATGCTTTTTCCCAAGCTCCTGACGAAGCACCCGGCCAAGCGCCTGGGCGGAGGAGAGGATGCCCAGACCGAGATCAAGGAGCATCCATTCTTCCGCTGGATTGACTGGGACCGCCTGGAGAGACTGGAGATCCAGGCGCCCTTCAAGCCCAGAACTGTCAGTTAAACAGATGGACTAAAGACTCCGTAGACTCTTCTTTCTGTATTTCTTTCTTTCTTTTTATGTCATTCTCCTGGCCTGTTTCTCCCCCCCCCCTCTCTCTCTCTATCTCTCTCTCTCTCCAAGGACACTTTTAGGGAATTGTAGCTGTCACTTTCTTCCATCTGTCTCGTCTCTCTCAAACTCCCACACCTCCCCTCCTTTCCCAGCACGTCTTCCTCACTCAGACGTCCTCCTTGTGTTGGCCTTTTCTCCCCCTCTTCTTCTCCTCTCATCCCAAATGTCCCGTGTCTCCCCCCCCCCCCCCACCACCCCCTCCCACTCTTTCCAGTTCCTGTCTCTTTGAATCTCTTTCATCCCCATTGATGGTTTTTCTCGAGTTGAGCTTTGAGCGCTCAGGAACAGACAGCCCAGTCATAACAGGCGGGACCCCCTGACCTCGGGGTCCCGCCTACGCCTGCTATATGTAAATTGTCCGCCATCATTAGCCCACCGCACGCCAATTTTTTTGGGCCCCGCTGGCCGAGAGTGAGATGTGCTTTGGGTGAGCTGAGTACGCTCGGAGGTTAGAGGCCAGACCCATTAGCCAAATGATATTCACATCATCGGGCACCGCGGCTGTCAAGGGGCAGCAAAGGAGACGTGAGCAGCCTTTTTTTTTTGTTCCACCGTAGGTGTGGAACAGAGTTCATTGGAGAGAAAACGAGGGTGTGGGTGAGAAAAAGAGATGCGTGGGTAGAGTCTTTTAATAATTGCGTTCTTTGTTTCAGGAGGAAGATAGTGGTGCGTATGCTCGATATCCGATATTTATCTGTGTGAAAGTGCACGCTGATGCTCTCCTCTTCTTCATCAGGGTGGAAGGAAAGGAGAAAACTTTGACAACTTCTTCACAGCAGCTCCGCCGGCACTCACTCCCTCCGACCCGGATGTGCTAGCGGCCATCGACCAGGAGGACTTCCAGGGCTTCACCTTCCAGAACCCCGACTTTGCCCCCTCGCCACTCACGGCGGTTTGAAAATGGCTTCCGAAGCTGCTCCGACAACGCCCTCTCGAGTGTTGTCCAAAATAGCCTGTTCGTCCCCGTGATAGTAGTTTTATCGAAAAAAATATCTTCAAAGATGAGAACTATTCAAGACATGTCTCGTAACCAAATTCTGACGTTTACAAGAAAAAGCCAAGACACCTTTATATTTAAGCACTCTTTGTTGGATGCATTATATATATATTGATAGTCACAGAATATGTTTTAGCCACGCAAACAAAGCCTGCGTAATACTATTGATTTTCATGTTAGAGGTTTTTGTACAGCCTGATTTCCAAAACCTGTTCGTTAAAATGTATACGAAAATCTTGAACATACAAATTCGTAGTGATACATACTAAATAAATACAGACTGCAACTGATGACGTCACTCTATTCAAAGTGAATGGGGACCTGCACCCCGTAAACACACTTCGTGAAGTCTAACGATGTAAAATAAACGTGTAATGATTTTTAACGAGAAATCAATGTTAACTTGTAAGAATAGAATACTAACCCTAACCCCCTCAAAAAATCCAACATAGCGGAGAGACGTTCACTCAAGAATCCGACATGGTCTGCCATGTTGTTCACTCAAGGGGCGGGGTTAACCACCGGCAGGTCGTAGCTATTGTTACGAATTTGTATGTTCAAGATTTTCGTATACATTTTTACGAACAGGTTTTGGAGATCACGTTGTTTTTTAAGACAACCCTTGACTCGATAAAAGAATACTGTAGTACGAACCTGAGAAAATGCATGCAGTGTTTTTAGAATGAATTGCTTTGACACACTAGATTTATGCAGCTATACATGCGTAAAGAAATTCATCTCAAACGTTCCCTGTGAGGATTAAAAATCGTTTAGTGACGTGAAAAGTGTTTTTTTCCTGAAACGGCTACACAGGTCACCCAGCTGGTCAGTTGTTTCTTAGCAGGTTTATTCCAGTGGAATCGTGTGTCCTACACAGCACCCCAATGTGTCTTACTAAATATTCTTTCTGTGAGTGTTGACACTTTGAATACAAGTCAAACTGAGCGAGTGGCCTTTTTTTTTTTTTTTTAACAGACTTTCTTTCGTTGGAAGAGCTCCGTCAGATAGTTCTGGCCCGGCTCGACCTCTGAATTTAACATCAGACCGATGACCTCAGTTGACGGTTAATGCAGCCCGCGGTGCCCCTCCGGCACTTATTCCTTCTCTGCCTGACTCTATTGTCACTGCCACGTTTCGGCCTGCGTGGCTTTTATTTCACATGTCTTTTCCATTATTTTCCACCGAGCTTTGCCGCTAACTGCGTTGCAATACAGAGTATCCGTGCTTATTGATGCCACCGTCGATCCACACCCAATTATGTAAATACAGTCTTTGAAAATAGACCTTTAATAATGTTTTCAAGATGCTTATACAGTTGCAAGTACTTCATCATTTTTGACGCGTGAGCCGTAAAGCTTTTTGCTGCGTTATGACGCACTCACAGCATTGATTAGGCATAATTAGAAGTCAGCCTCACTTGGACTGTTCAATACATGGAAAACTGATTAACCGCTATCTGAGCAGGGCAGGTGGCTGCAAACATACAGTTTAATAATCCCTTTCCAGCGCTCTTATCTCACAAACCAGCTGGTTGTTTCACACACAAATCTGTTTTCTTTGACTCATCTTCATTCTTCTTCATTCTTATTTTAAATTCTATGTCAACATATTGGTGATTACAATCTTCTCTCATCCGGCGGGAATAACGCCTTGGCAGTTTTTCAATAAGTGCACATGTGTGTCCCTTTTTAAAATGGACAACTATAAAAGTTCATCTGATGGCTCGGCTCGGTTTGGCTTGAGGTCAAGTGTCACAAGTGTCTCAAGACGATAGATGAACCAACCAATAATAAAACAAAAGAAAATACATGTGTCTGTCAGAGTGAACTTCAGTTTTTTTGTTTCTGCTGTAAATAAATAAAAATATTTTAAAAAATCATGAAACGATACCAGCAAAGTCTTTCATTCGGGTTGTGTGCGAGGCTGCCGAGGAACGAACATGCAGAGCCTCTCGCTTGGTCTCCTCCTCACGCCCCTGTGTCACGCTCGCTCACTTCCACACACGCTCACACCCAAAACTGCAATCTCAAGCATGTGCACGCGCACACACATACACTCGGACAGAGAAGATGCTGACCCCCCTCTATTTACTGTGATGCCGTAGTTGTCGAACCAGCAAAACCACCTCTCTGGCGTCTCTCCCTCCTCGTCTTCTGAAGCAGCCTCACACAGTCACCACCTCCTCCTCCTCCTCCTCCTCACACTCCTCCAGCATCACGATGGGACTAATCTCCCCATAGAGATGTGAGTTATAACAAGTTGACCTTCACATTAAAATCTCGTCTCATCTCCTTCTCTATCTGCACTATCTCTTCTTCTCTGAAAATGCTTCAATGCATTGTTCTATGTCGTCCTCTTTAAATATGATCATGTCTTATTGCTGCTGTTATCTCGTTGGCATATATCACCTGGAGTTCCACGTCTTATCTTCTCCTGGCCTCTGCATCAATGCTATGATCTGGATTTTCTCACAATTGCAATTGTTTTTTTATAAAACTCAGCTTGATGTTCACTGTATTGCTGTGATGCTAAAAACTAATCAAGTGAAGAAGGCCGCCTTTGTGTGAAGGTAAATCCTCCTCAGTGTAAACGACTGCGTGAGCTCGAACTCCGCATCAGCCTCAACTCCAACCCCGACACCATCTCCCTCCATGTAACTGAGCTTCCGGCGCCCCGCGGCCCCCCGTTGTGTGCGTGCGGCCCATCATTCACTGTTCCTCTGACACGATATCACCCCCCCACCCCCTCCTCCCCCTCTTCAATGCTGCCTCCTCTCCTTTACTCTCCTTCTATCTCACATTAATCTCTCATGCTCTCCACCTCCCTCCCCCCCCCCCTCCCTCCCTCTCCATCGCTCTGTCGCTCGTGCCCTGAGGTCAGAGTGTGCTTTAGACTATTGATATCGTTACTAAAAATATAGGAGTCCTCCACGAGCCAGCTATAAATAGACCAAGGGACATGGACCACAGGAGACAGGGGAGGGAGGGGGGAGGCAAGGGGGAGTGGAAGATGAAGGAAGAGAGGGAGACGGGAGGTTACTTGTGCAATTCTAAAGTCATAACGTGAGGTGAAGTGATCTTGAATGAACCGAACTGCAAAGGGCAGGTGAGTTACTCTTATCCATTTATATTTGACACAAAATGCAGTTAATCTTCTGTGAATTCCACTCAAGTTTGCGTACGATTCATATTGAACGATGCTTTACTCACATGACCGTATAAAGCAAGCAGTACTGCCGACGCAGGCTTTCAATAAAAAGCCAAGTAATAATTATGAAAAATAATATAGAAAATATGGTAATATGTTCCTTGGAAGACGTTTGTCCAATCGTGTTTCCAACAGACGACTGTTAATAAGACAAAATTGCAAAGGTAAACATGAAATAAGAAATAGTTATAAAACCAAATAATTTTTTTTATTGGTTTTACTGAATAATAACACAATATTACGCCTACATTGGAAGACAAACTGAAAGAAATATCAAAAAGGATATAAAGGATACGAAATAGTAGTTCAACGTGACCCCTCCTCCCTCTCTCTCTCTCTCTCTCTCTCTCTCTCTCTCTCTCTCTCTCTCTCTCTCTCTCTCTCTCTCTCTCTCTCTCTCTCTCTCCTGCTCGCGCTATGTCTCTGTTGTAGCCAAAGTAGCCTGCTGAACCAATCCACCGCAGTGCCTGGGACACACCGAGGGAAGGAGAGAGGGAGCGATTTGGAGGATGGGTAACGGGGCTTAAACCCTAACCACACAGCAGAGAGGGGGAGAGAGGGAGAGAGAGAGAGAGCGAAGCCCACCAAGCCTCCCTGGCGTCAGGTTTCTTGGCTACTGACGTCTGCACGACTCTCGTGGCATGGTGAGTATTTTTCTCCCCCCTTTTTGGGGGTAATTAATTACAGTATTTGGTTTTCTTGGCTGTAATTGCAACGATGACGCCTTTTTCTGTCAACCCGACTCGGTCTTTTAAGATGCGTGTTTATTATTGTGTGGAGGAAAGAAGAAACCCCGCTGCATTCACAGCGCGTGCTCTTGTCGTGTTGTGCGTAAAGACACATCTTTTTTTTCCTAAAATATCACAGTCAGGCTAAAATGTCACACGGAAGCCGAGTCGTTCAGCAGCTCTCCATTTCGCTCACATGTTCCCTCCTCTGTGTTTATCATCTCCAAACTCCGCGTGTGAGTGTGTGTGACAGTGTGTGTGTGTGTGTGTGTGTGTGTGTGTGTGTGTGTGTGTGTGTGTGTGTGTGTGTGTGTGTGTGTGTGTGTGGCTGCGCAGCTGAAATGCTCCGAGAACATCCTCAGCAAACCCACCCATGAGTCACGATGTCCGGTTTACTCGTTTCTGAAGTCATGTCGTTCTCCACTGAGTGACTCCGTCCTCTCCGGCTTCATTCTTTTGAGTGGAGCTCGGTGAGTTTAGCGCAGGTAGAAGCGCGTTCCTCTCGCGCGCGTCCATGTTGGGTGCTCCTTCAATTTTTTGGGCCAAGGTCTTTCACTTCCTAACCTAAATCTGCTACATGTATTCCTGCTCTTCCTGCCTCAGAGACCCTCCGTCTCTCCCCCTCCCTCCCTCTCTCTCTCTGTCTCTCAACATAGTTTCGTCCTCCTGCTTTCTTCTCATCGGCACGTCTCCATGTCTTTCCTCCTCGCCCATCACTCCCTCTTTCTCCCGGTGTCTTTCCTTCCTGTGAGGCTCAGAGGTGATGTCAGTCTGTAGATGTGACAGATTGGAGAGAATTAATCCCCTTTTTCTCCCCCTCGTGGCTCCTATCTAACCAATTCAATTGGCTCATTACCTCCTGGGTGAGGCGGCTGATGGGGCCTGTCTCACGGCGCTAAACTGGGATTGTCAACACAACAGTGACAGTGGCAGTCTATAATGGTTATTTCTCCATAAACTGCAACAGAAGGGGGGCGACACATGGGCTTTTCCCTCTTATTTGAGTGTTTTCCGTGTGGTGGTTGCGGCCTGTGAGAGAGAGACGGTGCTGCTGTCCGTGGTGCTGAACAAGTCTGGAAGGGACGTCCACGCATTTCTGCCTGGTTGCAACGGGATTCTCACTCATTCCTGACCACTTTGCCACATCCTCCCGCTGCTGGGAGGTGTGATTGTTCATTGCCACCCCTCCCTGCTCCCCCCCCCCCTCTCCTCTTCTGTGTGCTTCCAGTTGATTCGTACGTCATCTCGTTTTTTTTTATTTTACGGAGAGACTACCTGAAACTCTCTCAGTCACGTGGCTGAAACTCGTGTCAAATCAGCCAGCAGCAGCAGCCGTGACCACGGCTGTGCCTGCCGGATGATTAACGGAGATAAATAGATATACAAAGAAAGAAACTTTTGCGTGAGAGTTAGGGATTCCTTCAACGCCTCCGCTGCACCCTCGCATTGGGTTCATCGTGCCAGTTGTAAGTCGTGTGTCTTTCTTTTTGACATCCCTGAGCAACTGGATTCTGAGTGGTTGGTCATCCGCTCAATCTGTGCGTCTTTCAGCCTCAACATGCCCAAACATGTCATTGTTGTGAGGATTCCTGCGCTGCGTATACCCTTTGCAACCAGCTCTGCGGCCTTTATATCCCGGTGCTGCATAGAAACTGAAGCAACTTATCATTTTGTATCCGTCTCACCACAGTGGCGTTCCAGATAAGATGAGGCCAAGTTTAATCTCTAAGAGTTTATTCCCTAGAAAAATGACTGAAAATTATAAGTCTGCTTTTCAGAGGCCCAAAGGCTTGTCAAAAGAAAAACCATGAGGAGAATAAAAAGTTTTTTATGTTTAAGTCATTAACATGGCACTAGCTTTTGTCCTCAATGTGCTCTTCAGTGTCTGGTGATCTGGTCAATGTTGAAATAATCAGTCTGCTTAAACGTGATGTACTTTTACCATACGCTTCCCTCCACAAGTGACGAGTTTCTGTTAGACGAAACGCTAATAATTCCTGGATGTGGATTGACAGAGAATTATACCAGAAACTACAAAAAAGGAACCTGGTCATCTGCAGCCATCTGAACATGTTTATGAATTACAATCAAACAGGGCAGAAGTATGCGAATAACGACTCAGCACGCGAGTGATACGCAGAGGAATCTTTTCAAACCTTGGAGCAGCAGCTGTGTTACATCAGCAGAAGAACATGCCTGATTTCACTCCCGTCAGCTACAGTAAGAAGAGGAGTGCAGAGACATTTGCCGTTACAATAAATATCTATTCTTTTTTGAGAGCAATGGTGAGACAGTGTGGTGTCATGATGTCGGTCAGTTTTCTCGGTACACGTTGGGCCACTGATGCAGTTGTGGTGTATTTTTACACCAGGATTAAGTGACCTGTAATGGCCTATCATTTTAGGTAGTAATGGGTAGTGCAATAACATAAGTTGTATGAGTAACACAAATCGATAACTATGACTAAAATGCAAACGTATTGTACGTTCCAAAAAAAAACCCACTTGTAAATTAGTCTGAAAATAATCAAAGCAAGAGCGAAGCTAACCCCTTAAAAATGAGGACATGAGGTCAGCTCCAAATTAGGCACAGGATTTCGGCTGAACTATCTCACACAAACACACAAGCGCACACACCGACACACACCACACACACACATGCAAAGAAACCCATAAATGCATACAGACAGCACGCTCAATGGATTTGCAGTGAAGTCTTTGCCAGTCAACCAGAACTAAGTCACAGAAAAAGCATGTGTGAGTCACACAGTACTTCTCCTCCCTCCCCTCCTGCCTGTGTGTGTGTGTGTGTGTGTGTGTGTGTGTGTGTTTAAGATCCTTTTTCTTTTTTTTAAGTCCCCTCCTAAGTTCAGTGGTTCAGCGTGAAGTCATCATCTGTTGCATCGGCTCCTCTCTGACCTTCAACGGGATTGGTCGCCACTGGACGTGTCACTAACTCTTCTTTAGCGGTAACAGAGCGAGACAGGGAGATGGCCAGTAGCCGTTTTTCGTGTGTGCACGTCAAATTTCTGTCCGTGTGTTTCCCCGTTCTTATGACCCCCCTCCCCCACACACACCTCCCACCATGCAAATTACCTACATCAGTGTCTCTCCTCTTCTAACACCCCCCCCTTCCTCGTCCCTTCCAGATGAGTTCGTGCAGCAGCCGTGCGCTGACCATCCTGTCGACAGTGTTCGGAGCCTGCGGGCTGCTCCTGGTGGGGGTGGCCGTGTCCACGGACTACTGGCTGATCATGGTGGAGGGCATCATCCTGCAGCAGAACCAAAGCATGGAGGTGAAGATGGCGCTGCACTCGGGCCTCTGGAGAGTTTGCTTCGTGGCCGGTGAGAAGACCCGCTAAAGTGCTCAAATGACCAAATGAAAGGATGGAGACGCATGTGTGCACAGTCAGAGAGACACGCGCAACCATCCAAACAATGCTGCTACGTGTGTGTGTGTGTGTGTGCATATGTCCACATCATCTCAGTGACAAACACACAGGAGCGGACGAAGCGGCAGAGTGAGGGAGCAGCAAAGGGGGAGAAAAAAGGGAAAACGAGCTTCTGGCCTCCAGAATCGTTGCTGTCACAAAACATGATCGTTACCTGTGAGCAGGACTGCAGGGACCCACAGATGTTCCTTTCTCTTTTTTTGGGGAGGGGCGTGGGGGGGGGATTCTCATGCATCACTGGCTTCGAAAAGAAAATCCCTCTTTATTTGTGTGCGTGTGTGTGTGTGTGTGTGTGTTTCCTCTCAGGAGCAGAAAACGGGAGATGTGTTGCATCGGAGTACTTCACTGAACCAGATATCGAGATCACCACAGAAAACACTGCAAATATCCTCAGTGAGTGAAACACACGCAAGCCCAGTACACATTATGGGAACTGCAGAGCCCCCCCCCCCACACCGATTGATTGTGGCTACTGGAATTTGAACATAGTTACACAATATTGGATTGATAGAAAATTAACCTGAATTTTATAATGGACTTGTTACAGCGCCTCAACTGTGCAGCTTTTCTTGTTCTCTTTTATTTCATAGTAAGCTTTTGAATTTGAATTTTTAAATATAACCGCAGCCTTTGTTTTCAGTAATCAGTAATTCAATTTTAACATTAAGAGTTTTTTAAAATCTTATTGTACTTCATTTTGATATTTCTTTGATATCTGTCTTGGCTCAGCTTTTATTAACCTCACAGACGTTACCCCCCCACCCTCTCCCAGAAGTTCAAAGGATCAGCTTTGCTAACACGGTGACCTCTCCTCCCCACAGAGATGGTGCGGACAGCCACGCCCTTCCCGATGGTGTCGCTGCTCTTCGTCTTCACAGCCTTCGTCATCAGTAACATCGGCCACATCCGGCCTCAGCGCACCATCCTGGCCTTCGTGTCCGGCATCTTCTTCATCCTCTCAGGCGAGGAACCCATTACTCATGTCCCGCCGTCACCACACCTCCACTCCGTGATTGATTACAGCGGCCCGGCGTGTCGCACGCGGCGCACTCCATCACGCCTCTATTTTTAGTGTGTGATGCAGGTGTGTGAGGCTGTCATCGGAAAAGGTGACTGCATCAGTGTCTCGCTCTTCTGACTTTGCAATTAAACGTGCTTCACGAGAGGAATTAAGAATTTGGGATGACGTGCACGCCGATTGTCAAAATTCTGAACATGCCGCACTCACCACAGTCCCATGAACGCGTCTTCATTTTCCGCATTAGTGTAACTAGCCTCGTTGAACAGCAGGTGGCTCTCGTGCTCCCGTTGCTTGTCCTCCGTTTCAAAAGACTGTCAGGTGCCAAATTGGGAGCTCACGTTCTCTGGAGGCTGTTTCACTTGACACGTTGGAGAAGGAGCATCAGACGGCTCCAGACTCTGCCGGAGCGGGGACTCGCTGTTAAACGGTGGAGCAGAATAATAGCTTTTACGTAACCGGGGTTATGTAATGTTTAGGGCCCGTGCTGGAAGTGTCGCAGTGTTTTTTCATAATGGGGGGATAATAAGGGGCAAGTGTGTCAAATTGCTTTTCAGCGGTTAGATATTCTGCTGCACTGAGCCTCTGCCACCCCCCCCCCCCCCCCTGCCTTTCCTCTTTTCTCAAAAAACCAGCCCCTGGTTTTCTTCTCCCCCCTCCCTCCTCCTAGTGACTCTCCTTCCTCTCATTTCCCACTGACTCCTTCATTCAGATCACACTGCCTCAGTATTCTTCCCCTTGTGCTGCATTCAGGGGCTCGGTGTTTGGTAAATGTTGTGTAGTTAGAGTCGTGTCATGTTCAGATTGATGTTAAAGAAGTCATGGCAAGACGCCACAGCGTGGTCCGAGGTTGTTATTTCTCTCTTACCCCGCTGGTTGACCTATTCCTTCCTCTTCTTTTTGTCTCACACACGTGCACACCTTTTTTTTCCTTCATCTACCTAGTGTGCACCCTCAACTTTTATGATATTACTTATTTAGATGATGATGTGCTCTGACTGCAGGATTGGCAGCAGCATGGTTTCTGCATTTTCTGTGTTTTTTTTTATTTTTATTTTAAATGGACTGCACAGCCCCTTAAGCAGGATGTTTCCCGTGAAGGACATAACTGCTTAACAGCCGGTTGGAACATTTTAATCTTGCAGGGAAGGCTAAAAATACTGGCTTTGCTGCTTACAGCATGCAACTTTCCATGAATATTGATTCTTCAATGTTGGCCATATGTTGTCTCTCATGCATTTAGCATTTCTCTTAGTGTTCTTGGAGGAAAGGGTTTTAATGTTGTATGTGTTGCTTCTGACTGAAAAGGATCATTGAAAGCTTATTCTGGTTTCCATACCATAATTATTCCTGTAACACGGTGATGTTTCGAGTGGATGCTGAATGTGGCAACTAAATGGTCTTAAAAAGCTTAGACTTTCGGCGTAAATCCCCCCCCCCCCCCCCTCCCCTGCTTTATTTTTTTACACAACTTTATTGCTATTTTCAAAAAGGAGCAAATGATAAATGCGCAAGGATTAGTAGAGGGAATAAAATAAAGTATTTTAAATTTGTAGGCAATTCCCTTAAGTAGAAATTACACTAATTAGAAACAGAATGTATTTTTCAGAGAAAAGTATGCCGCCTTAATTATGTTGTTAATCACCGCAAAGAGAAAATGTTTCACTAAACCTTTTCTGCCCGAGGAACATGTTTTATTATACTTAATAAAGCCATTTTCGTCTGGTTAAATATTGATAAAGTCAACAGTGACTTGAAACAGTCTTCTCCTAACCTTAATAGAAGTGCTTTCTAACCTAAACCACACTTTAAAAAGGTACCACTTCTAAACAAAGACCAACATATAGTTTTGCACCAAACGGGGTTGCTGCATAAGACACAAAGTCCTTCCCAATACACATAAGGAGACATAGGAAACAACTCTTTGTATTATACATACTTCATGTTTATATGATATATAATACATAGACTATTGTATCTGACTCTCTAACGCTGTGTTATTGTTGATGTGCTGTGTGCAGGCCTCAGTCTGGTGGTCGGCCTGGTGCTCTACATCTCCAGCATTAACGATGAGGTGATGAACCGGCCCAGGGAGCCCGAGCAGTTCTTCAACTACCACTATGGCTGGTCCTTCGCATTTGCTGCCTCCTCTTTCTTACTCAAAGAGGTCGGTCTAGGCTCTGTGTGTGTGTGTTTTCTTTTGTAGCAAGAAATGTCAATCATCTGCACACACACGCGCACGCACACACACACACACACTCTCCTCCTGTCATCATCAGCAGCAGCAGCACTGCTGTAAATGCGATGCAGTGGACACTAGCCTCCTCGCCTCCTCTCCTCCTCTCCTCCTCCCTCCTATCCTTTGGCACCATCTGTTCTACACACTCATTTCTCCTCTTTTCCCCTCCTTCTTTCCATTTCAATCTGTTATATACAGTATACGCTTAAAATAACCTAAAGTGCACACTCAGCTTTTTAGAATCAAAAGCAAATACATCCCTTTCTACTTACATATATTTCCTATTAACACTTCTGCCCTGTCAGCCACTTCTAATCTAATTTCCCCAGCCATCACTGGGTAGTACTTCTTTGAAAATGTATTATTTTTCTCTGAACCCTGAATTTATTTACGTATTTAAGTCCCTCTCTCACTGTGGCATCTTGTCCCCCCCCCCGTCCCTCATCCTGCTTCCTCTCCCGCTCGATGTCTCAGGGGGCCGGCGTGATGTCGGTCTATCTCTTCATGAAGCGCTACGCCGAGGAGGAGATGTACCGCCCCCACCCTGCACTCTACCGCCCCCGCCTGTCCGAGAGTAGCGACTACAGCGGCCAGTTCCTCCACCCGGAATCGTCCTGGCCTCCACCCAAGCGGGGCCGCAGCACCTCCGAAGCCTCCAGCGACATCTCCATCCAGCTCAACCAGGCTCCCCCGGTGCCCCCCAAGAGCAGCCTCCACGGGCAGGGCAGCCCGCCCTCTGGGTCTTCCTCCGCAGGAAGCTACCAAATGCCCCCGCAGTCGGCTGGCTACCCCTCCACGCACACCCTGACCAGGTCGCACGCCTCACACCCCCAAGGCCAGGTCCTTCCCATGGCCATGCCTCCGTCGCCCGTGCCCCCTCCTCACTATCACACTCACATGCACATGAGCGCCTCCCCCTGTTAGGAAGAGAGAGCACCAGGCAGGGAAGGAGAGACACTGACTCCTTAAGAATCACGTAGGCCGTACATTTAGATGTGAATGAGAGTCAATTCTGAGTTTTAGGGCACAGATCATGTGAGGTTTGGCGAAAGGAGACGTGGTCACACTGAATAAAATGTAGCGTTGGGACAATAATGCACCGTGGACAAAGGGGGTGTTTTAACGGGATTGTGGAGGTATGCCAGAAAAGGCAATGGACGGGAAAAAAATCAAATAAAGGGAAGATTGGAAAAAAGTAATTCAGTTTGGCATGATGGGAAGAGGTAAAAAAAAAAAAAGTGATCGAGACTTTAGAGGTTAGGTTTAGTGACAGAGGAGATATAGGGGAGGGAGAGCGAGGGGCTGCGGCACAGCACGAAGATGCTGCAGTGCTGCAGGAAATTTGTATGCATTGGGAAATGTACAATGCAAAACCCTGATCACAAAGACTGAGGATGCACACTTTTATACATACATCATCCATAGAAATACACACGCTACATACCTTTATACCAAAAGGTTGCTTCTCTGAATTTCTTACTTCATCAATGCAGTTTCAGAACTCACAATTTCTCAAAGTATTATTGTTATTATTGTTAATATTATTAAAAGTTAAAGAGTATTAGGTAACAATAGAGCAGTTCTGAAATAAGAACGCTGTATGTGAATGCTGTTAATATTTGTAAAAAAAAAAACTGACAGAAGTGGACTGAAATATAAGGAGAAAATCTAACATTTGTTTTACATGTTTGATTAAGATACAAATTTCTAAATGTATTACGTGTACGTAAAACTGCACACAGGGACTTCCATGTAGCTGTTGTAGGTTATGAATGAAGCTTTGGCACAAGTCACATTTAGAAAATGTCTGACTCAATCTGCTTTGGATGAAGACAGACTGCAAAAAGTGCACTACAACCACCGCTGCAGCGATGGGGAGGAAGAGGAGGAGGGGAAAGAGGAAGAGGAGGACTCACCCGACACGGATGTGGTGGTCTGATGCCCCCTTCTGGCCACTGTTCAGCACTGACCCTGGATCAGATGGTGATCACTACTTTTTCATGCTCTCTTCCCTCGTCACTGACCCGCCCTGTTGTGTGTTTGCTGACGGTGCAGCACAGATGAGCTGGACTGAAGCCGTCACGGTGCAACTCAACCGAACTTTGAACTGCACATTGAACAAGACGGGTTAGAAGTATTTTATAAAAGCTTCAATGCTGTTCACACATCGGGAAAACTAACAGATGAAAGCATTAATAACCATTGCAATCAAGGCTCCACGGACAATATCAATGTTTATGAAACGCAAGTCCTCGTGGACAGACTAAAGGCTGTTCTTTATTTCCCATACATTTTGGTTCCCATTTGTGATGGTGCATTGTACTAAAGGTTTCTCGAGTATCTGAAGGTGTGTGTTTACATGAAAACGTGACATTGAGCTCTCTTGATTGGATCTAATTATTTTCATCATTGCCTTATTATTCTATATTCATTATTTTACCCGTGAAAAATCTGAAAAAAGTATATATATATATAAAATAGTGAAAAAGTGTAATGTTCCATGGCTCAACGCTATTTATTTATAAAACCAAATGTTTTTGACCAAAGATGACAAAGAAATGCATAATTTCATATTTTGCTTTGAAAATGACAAATTATTAATGCTGACTAATGTTTTGATGGGCTGATTAATTAATGAATCCGTAACATCACATTATAGCAGTATGACACATTTTAGTCATGCATGTTGTGTTTTATTTTGTAGTAATATATTTTCAGATGCTTTAGAACCTCAATGTTCAGGACAAACACTGTACAGTATCTTAAAAAGAAGAAGGACCTGCGTATCAAAAGCAGAAGATTAGTGGATTTTGTTTGTTTGGCACCTCATGCACAGGGGCACGTGGATACGATATATCTCTGTAATCAGAATTAAACCATCGTGCCGTTGTGTGATGGCTGGTTTTCACTATCACTGTGACGCTGGAGAGAGGGAAACACACAGAGGAATTGGGTGATGAAAGTGTCGCACTCTTCCAGGGGAGAATATGAAGTGAGATGGTGGAGATATCTCCGTGCTTCCAGCCTCTTGCAGGCTTTGGTTGCGCCTGCGTGGTTCTTTGCTCACGGCCCTGTTCGTTGTTCACACATTGCCACAAATCGGTACCTGTGTGAAGCCCAGTGTAACTGCAGACTTCTGTTGATAGTTCCGCCTTTAAAGTCAGGGGGTTAAGTGCCTTGCTCAAGGGCACCTGAGCAGTAGCTGTTGAAGAAGATCGAGAAACCTTCTGGTTTGAATCCACTGTTGGAACCTTTTTGACTATTGAAGACCCCAATGATTCACTTATTTCCATTGTTCATAGAACCATTTGATAATCCCTCCCTGTACCTCTTGGTTTTTCCCTCTCTACTACCCCAGCTCTTTTTCTTTGCCTCTACATGACATAACATTACATAAAAGGGTGTAGCTTGCTTGCCTCTGCATAAAGTGTGGACTTATTGCACATGACCATCTTTGTGAAAAAGAAAGAAAAAAAAGCAGTAAAACAAATGCTGTTTGCCGATGCTTCAGTGGAACTGTTGCTTTATAATCTTGAGTTACATAATTCGATAGCGGTTGTGATTAAGATCCCTTTTGGAAGTGTTGACATCTGCCCCTGAACATGAATAAAACTTCAAACTTGGGTTCATTTCAACGTGTCCCCGGTTGTCCTCTGGTTATCTGCTTCTGAATTTATATCTTTATATTTTTGGTTGTTAGAGGTTTCATCAACGTTTTGTTATTTTCTTTTTCGGGTTTACGTGATAAGGACAGAACTGAAAGATAAGCCTTTGTTTGCATGTGAATTGTAATGAGCATGCACTAATAATAATATGATCCGGTCTCTGTGATGAAGGGGAACTATGTGAGTGAATGCGCACTGCGGTGAACCACTGGCTGTTAACCAGGCTCCCTCAGTCACAGCGAGCCACCGCTGCCTGAAGGCAACGATTGATCAGTGCCGTACGTGTGTGTAAGCGTTTGTGCGTGACTGGCTGTGTTTGTTGCTATGTTGAAGGTTTGTAATTGTTTGTCATAACCCGCCTGCGACTAAAGAAATAGCATTAAAAAATATAAGAATGAATTGTAATTTATAGTAAGTTAACTGGAAGTGAAAATTACAATTAAAATCTGGTTTGTAGAAGTCTCATTTTTTTCTAAATGAATTACTTATTTTGGTCAAGTTCTAGTGAGGGAAAGCGCTGTGTAGAGGACACAGCCATTTTGCTGTTTCTATTCAATAGGCGATCAAATACCTGTAACCTGGAAATGTAACACAGAAATTATCATAATCCAGAACGACACAGAATTTGAAAGCAAGCAGCAAATAGTACATTTGACAGTGTGTAAGAGAAAGAATCAGAGGTGTTACATTAAGAAGCCAAACATCAATCATCAAACATCCACAGGTCAGTAAAAACAAAAACATGTGAGCGCTCTGCTGTCTGACTCATAGGACTGAGAGTTTCCTGTTTGTGTGTGTGTGTGTGTGCGTGTGTGTGTGTTTGTGTCTCTCCTGATGAATGAAGCCTGACTGCTGGTCTAAACAAATCAAGAATAAATTGTGACTTGTGGTTTCCTATGTGGCTACCTTTCTGTAATCGTGTGTGTGTGTGTGCGTCTGTTCATGTGTGTGTGTGTGTGTGTGTGTGTGTGTGTGTGTGTGTGTGTGTGGTGGTGGTGTGTGTTGGCGTGTGTAAGCATCTTTTCTTTATCTGCGTTTGTGTTTGACTTAATGTGTGTGGCAGTGTGGGTTGAGTGGATCTCTCTTTTCACCATCACCATTACTGCATGAAAGACCTGTCACTCTGCATTAGCTCTCTCCGGTTCTCCCCTCTGTGCGTGTGTGAGAGAGAGATGGGGGGGAGAGAGAGAGAGGTGAACTGGGCAGCAAAGCCACTTTAAAGCTATTGAAGGTCATTGTCTGTTCATTTTTTTGCCTAATGTCCTGCAACCAGCAGCTTGAGCCACTGTAACGCTCCGTATTTATAGATGTGTGCATGTGTGGTGTGATTTATTCCATGTTACAAACAGATGGATCCCTGCTCACTAGAGACTGAATAATTATGACAATGATGGTAAATGATCCCATTTCTTCTGGCTTCATTTCTGTTCATATTGATACATTAATATTGACCTGTAGTTGTTTGACTCCACTATATCACACAGCTCTCTCTCTCTCTCTCTCCTTCTCTCTCCCTCTCTCTCTCTCTGCAGGGCTGCGCTCGTGCTGCATTTCCCAGAACTACCAGCGCGGCCCCATCATCATCATTACCATCTTCATCATCATCACCACCACCAGCATCGTCACCACCACAGGAAGCAAAGTGTCCCACTGGCGCTCCATCGAGTCGCTCCCCAGCTAAACACACACACACACACACACACACACACACACACACACACACACACACACACACACACACACACACGTGCGTGTGTTTGTATTTAACATCAATAGCACGTACAGTGGTCGTCGCTTGCAGGCTACTTATTGCACCGCCCTGCGAGTCCCACGCTCCAATAAGCACATCCAGACCAATACCCTCAATATGGGAGAGGGGGGGTAAACATTCGCCGTGATCTCGCAGCCCGACATGGTGTAGTTAGTGGATCCCATCACGTCGTCGATCCCGACATTATTATCCGTCATCATTCGCATCGTTGGGGAGTTTTGGGGAGATGCGACAATTTGCCAGGCGTCGCCGCGCGCTCAGTGTGGAGAATTGAGGAAGCAGACAAGCAGGAGAGCGCTCGTCCACCCCGAGAAGTGGGTGAGGGGGCGGAGACGCATTCTCCCCCGAGTACACACAAGCAGCGCCCACATCCACTGTAGACAAATCCGTGTCCAGTGACGTGTTTTGTATCAGCCTTTGTTTGTCTTTTTTTTAAAATGCACGTTCAACCCTTTTCCACCACTGCGCTGAAGCCGAAACTCAGATCCCAGTCTTATTTCCACCAACTCTAATCACCCCCTTTCTATTCATTAATTTATTTATTTATTTGTTGGCCTCGTTATTCAGCCAATCCACCGTCCACGGTCCACCCGCCCCCCCCCCCCGCTATCTCCCCCCACCCCCGTCCCCCTCCCCTCCATCTCCATCTCTTTGGGAGTGCGACGCGCTGCGAATCTCTGCGAAATAAAACAGAAGCCTGCAGGTAAGACCTCTACCATCTTATTTCCACGATCACGGTGACAATATTAGCCACTGTTTTTGTTGTTGTTGTTGGGTTTTTTTTTAAACTCTGCAGCTTAACGGATCACAGTTCATTCAGTGTAATTTACACGCCACGTTGATTTGTTTCACGTTGCCTGCAACTTGGAGCCCACCACTAACTGACTGTAGACCACGGAATTAAGATCTGTGAAAAAAAAAAAAAAAACGTATAATCATTATCAGCCACTTCTCTGATTAAATGCTGAATGACTGTTTTTCCACCTTTTTCTGCGGGCCTGTAATTAGCGACGGAAACGTCCATTATGCAAATGAAATTCTTATAATAGCTCGTTTGAACCCCTCAATGCATCCGCACCGCAGGCGTCGGGAGGGGGGGTTAAAATATCTGTGTGAATCTGATGAAATGGTCGCCAGGTCGCGAGTGGTTTTCCGTGGACGTGTGCAGCGTGGGACTCGTGTCCCGTTCCACTGGTTTTCCTCTGCACCGGCCGCTTGATGCTACACAGGCGTCCATTTTCCACCGTGCAGCCTTCTGCAGGCAGGCGGATGTTTGTAGCCCGCTCCGTTAATGAATGCGCCGCAGTCCGCATCACTACTTGAGCCGTGCACGCTGGTCGCCCCCCTCCACCCACCCCACTCCCCCCGTGGCTCCGAGCTTGTGTGCGCCTAATCAGTGGTCTTCAGCCGCCGGACTCCTCGCCGTGTGCAGGCCGGCCAACATCTTAGCTCCGCGTTGGAGACCTGGGCCACATCGGTTTATCTGATGAGCTGCGGGATTCATGTCCCCCCGTTCAGCCCGCTGTCTCCGTCCCTCACCGGGGACGACGTGCATGTGCTCCGTGTTCTGCCAGATCCAGCGGTAAGAGGGACAGGGAACATCTGGCGCCTTATCAATCATTCATTTTTTTTTTTTTTTTTCATCACAGCTTAGATCACATCATGGCTAAAGGTGGAGTGGGGTGTGATTGGAGATGCTACAGGAGTGTGCACTGCACCATTCAGGAGACGACCTGTACCTGTGTTCACTGTGGGCTGCAGGAAGGACTCTCACTAATTATCATCATCTGTTGTGAAAAACCCAAAATGTGGTGGCTTGCAGTTACAGCACAAGCTTTTCCCCTCTGAGCTGAGGTTTTGATTTAGGTGCCGCATCTCTCCTGCATGTGTCTGGCCTTTTTCTTTTTTACAGCAGCACACGCTCCTTCGTGTTCGTCCTGCAGGTCCGCCTTAGCCGTCACTTGATGTGGGAAATGTCGTGAAGTTTCACTTTGGATATTTACATCTTGGCACTCGGTCGTAAATTGCCGGTGTCGATGTCGACGATTGATTGTTAAATTGTTGATGATAGATGCAATTTGTAATAGATAATTGTGGATGAGAAACATAATTGCCATTTAATTAATCGCCCTTCTGTACATTTTAATAGAAATAGAAGAACACAGGGTTTAAATAAGTCATAAAAACTGTAGTTTAGGCTTGTGTAAAGGGCCATTCATACATCAACATTGTTTGGATGTCAGTCATTGTTTGGACCCAAAGTCATATTAAAGTCTGCCTTCTCGCTCATGTAAAAAATACTCAACATCCCAGTCAGAAATCATGACCTGCCACTCAAGGTAATCCAACCTCGTTGTGTTGTGGAAACTAAAGTTTTTAAATGTCTGCACGGCATATCTGTCTGACCTTAGCGCAGTGGTACACCAAACATCTCCAGCGACACGGTCTCGCCATCAGCTGCCATTAACTCTCAGCGATCAGCGAATCTTCCATTGAGACGCGGTCGGTCTCGCCATCTGCTGGAACCCCCCCCGCCCCCTCCCCGCGCCCCCCCCCCGCCCTCAGCCTCTCTGCCGCCCACATGGTAAACACCGTCTGTACTGTGTGTGGCCTTGATGATTGTCTTTGTGGATTTTTGGATCACTTTAAAAAAAAAAAAAACTCAACCGCCTCTAAGGTCTGCTGTTTACGCTGTAAGGTGACTCACTGCAGTCAATACCGGTGCGTAGCCCACACAGGTTGTAGTGGTTTTAAGCGCCGGCCAAACCGTGATTATCTAATGCACAAGCGTTTCCCCCGACTATCAGACGCAACGTCTGTAACTTCCTGAATATCAACACCTGTTTTGCATCGCTCTTCCTCTCTCGCTCCGCCGCAGGTTGGGCCCGTTAGCCGCTCGTTTACCTCTTCCTCTGTCTCGCTCTCAGGGGAGAAGCAATTGTGCAATGATCATCACATCTGTCAAGTACCTGTATTCTTCAAGGAAATCGATGCCTTTGCTGCAATTTTCTAGACGGTCTACAGCGAAGATTCACGCCGTTCCTTCCTCTCTTCGGGGAGCTCCGGATGGAAACCCTGCATTGCTCGAGAGGACAGACCTTCGTTTAAATAAGGGTCCCGTAACCGGTGTAATTATCTAAATGTAACTATTCATTCAGATACATGCATGCTGGCTGTAAATGTGAACCTAGGATTGTGCTAAA